GGTCCCCGCCGTGTCCCCGTTGGTCCCCGTGCAAGCAGGACCCGTGGCTGCACCTTACTTCACCGCTCCTGCAGAGCCGGACGCTCCCAGTCGTGATGCCCAGGCCCGGTCGGAAGATGGGATCGAGCCGTGTGTTCAGAGCTGCAAGGATGGGGATGAGAGAGATGATCCTGCAGGGAGCGGTGAGTGGCTTTGGCATGACTAGGCTGTTGGGACATGGAGCACCAAAAACTCACCGTCTGGGCCAGTTTCGGGGCATCAGCCTCTCCAAGGCACTCACCATGTTGAGTGTGGTCGGCGGTTGGGTACCTCATCCCTTCCAGTCTTACCAGGAGGCTTCGTCATAACACTTCTTTGCCGTTTCCTGGTTTCTGCACTACTCTGCATTGCCAGAGCAGGGCGAAGGTCAGTTCTTCAGTCTGACCGCTGGATGTAAAGAGGCCTTTCCATTCGGTGTGCACAGACGTGCCAGATGTAGCTGGTTTTACACATGCTTGAAGTGTTCTTCCAGTTTATTGTGTTATGGAGGTAATGTGTAAAGCAGTAGCCCATCTGCTTTTCCTTATTTCATAGCATTTTTGAATACATGAAATTCATAATTCTCACTAGAGCTTTTCTCATGGGTTAGAAGCGGTGCGTGTTTTACTGAGAGCAACTGAAAAGGGATTGGCATGACTCTAGCAGAGCCAAAAAAGAAGCAAACCTCGAGAACAAGAATTCAGGTGGTACTGCCTTTTCCCAGGGCGGTGTAGAATGGATTTTCAGCTGCTAATGGGCACCACCACAAAGTGGACATTTCACCTGCATGAAAGTTTTGTAGGTTTCTGAGGCTCAAAATGTCTGCTGAGGGTTTTGTGACAAATATTTGAGGCCTGTTTGGGAGACCTTGGTCAGCGAGAACTGAAGTGAGGGTTTTGTCTGGACTGCAAGCTAGAACAGAGCTGCTGGGATGAGAATTGGAATTAATTTTGTGTATGGAATAAAAATAACATTGTTTCCTATTAACAGAAGACAGCATAATCCATATTAAGCAAGAGGAAGA